GATAAATTAGCAGTCCGGGTTTTTGTCTTTATTCAGTTCTCTTTGTCAACCTCATTGAAGAGAACAAAATAACTCATTGTTTGGAGTATGATTAGCTGCCAAATGTAAACGCATATCCACTCGCTCACTTGCTCTCCTTTGAGCATTCTTTCACTTTCTGTGCAGCGTCAGTAGAAAAACAATGCCGAGAGTTTACAGTACTCAGCGCGTGAGATTCCTCCCCACCAGCTTCGCTCATTGCTTACGGTGGTCAGAGCATACACATTACTCTGTGACGATAATAATCGAACCCCATTCACAGGACTGATGCTCAAAAGACACTACAGATGAACACTGACTGGGTAAATTTCTCGACCATTCAGTGTCATCTTCTACGCCAAATATTGAAAAGGTTTTTTCTGTTCATTTCGTCAACGGTAGCAACACAAACTCAACTATGCCTATCGTTTTGTGTAACTAACTTTCCTATTTGCCAACAGATTCCGGTTCTGGGTACTAAAAAAGCTAGTAATATTCATATCTTACCCAGACAATCGCCTAGAGTATTTCTTCCCGTTTTTCTTATTTTTCTTGTGTTACAAATCAGGTTGTGGCTCCGAGATGATCGCTGGTGATCGTCGCTATTCCATTATCCGTTCTGCATTTTATGTTCACAAACCACCAGAGACCGTTTTAATTTGTCATGTTCCCAAATAATATTGAGAAGTTATATGCTTGATTTTATTCACCTCGAGGTTGACTTAAAAGAATCGTCTGCCCTGTGCCCTTATCGGGTGTTAGCCAATCTGTCTGCTTTCTCACTTGTCATTTAATTTGGCACGTGACTCCCTGACCCCACGCAGATACCAAAACTGTTTTCCATATTTAAATGCGATGGAAATGTTTATGATGACCGACAAAGAGCACTAGATAACTGTTTCGTCCTGTTTGAGACTCATCAGCAGTGCGTACTTTTTATTTCCCTGTCAGAACTCGAACCGCGAACCTTCATCATCAACAGTGCCAGGTGCCTGTGAGAAATCGAATGGGCTAATCCCAGCATTCACCGTGTTTCTCATATCTTCAGATTTTCGGAGGAATCAATTCACTTAATTCATCATGATTTTCCTAAACCACAAACTCCCAGTAGCTCAACGTCGATTTATTGCCCCCATCCCCGGAGTTGATTTGGAGATTACCGGTAATATCGTTGTCAAGTCAGATCTCTATCACATACACACGCACACGGTATACCAGTTCAACTGCAGTTGGTGTGATGCAGACTTAGGCAGAGCAAATCGTCAACTATCACAACGAAATGATCAAACACACATTCCAAAGTCTTTAGTGAAGTCTATGACGCAACCCATACCCGATGGTCAGGCGGTCAGAAGGAACCCAGGATCACCTATTACAAAACATGTAATGATAACCGAACATGTAATTGATCCCACTTTTTGTTTGAGTCCACAATTGTGTATCCTTTGGTGCAGATAATTTACAAAATATTGAGACTTTGTCAACCCCATTACATCATCCAGGTTTTGTGCACCAAAAATATATTAATTCACTCCGTTCACTTGCCATGGTGCTGACCTATTGCTTATAATTTTAGAAGCCTTCATCTATCTATCATGAAGTTCTAATTACCCAGCAACATTTCGAACTTGTTTATTTTTACTTCGTGAAAAACAAAACATATATCAGACCAGCACTCGAACAGCCAATTCGATCAAACTTGACTGCACATTGCTAACCTAATGTATGCATAGTTCTGCAAATGGTGTTACTTACATTTCGACAGAGTATTTTAAATCTTTCAAAATCAACTGGCAATGCCCAGCCATGTTTGAACAATGAAAGCTTGAAAAAAGCCATAACATTTTTTGGCTTTTAAAGCATTCTCCTTAAAATCTCTAAATTCGAATGTCGCTGACCAATTAAATTTTTGCATAAACTGATTGATTTCTCATATCATGATATTATCTTTATTGTTCTACATTTTATTATCGTCCGGCACCCTCGAAAATTGTTTGAGAGCTCGTGGGAATCGTGTATTGGCTCTGGCAGATCTTTTAGGGTCCGATTGTATTTATAGGTCTAAGGTAATTGACTATTCAAACTCTTGTTGCGTTGCAGTTCAGTGACCACCTAATTTCAGGACCTTCACAAGCCTACTTGACTCCTATTGCACAATTACCTTAAGGTTATCGTCAATCCAGTGTCGACTCCCTCGTGGAAATGCCCCAGTGCTTTGGCGAACTTAACAGAAGGAAGCGATATGTTCCTTGTAAAATCGCAACTGCGACAATGTTATACTAGCAGGAGCAAAAACGAATATAAACAATTAAACGCATAGAAGAAACTCTCACATTATGCAGCTAAGATGAGAAATGAATACATTCTAAATTTGTTCGAAACACTGCCAGAACAATAACCAAAAAGCAGTTTGACGCACCGACGGTAGACAGACGGTTGATGATATGTTTCGACAGTGGCTTATTTTCAATTTCTGTTTTGGTGATCAGTCAACGGTAGATGGTTGAACGTTCATTAAGGCATAGATTGTCTACAAGAAACAGCATAAATTTCTTTTTAAGGATTCACTTTTGTGCACTATATGCTTGCATGCAAGTTGCAGTATCCGATATGAACTCCCACATCACCAATTGGCCGTCTCATCGAAACACATATTACGCTATATTTCTTCGGTATGTAATCCACCAACGAAGGTTTCTTCTTTATCAGCGTTTTGTGTTGCAAAGTTAGTGGGCTTTTGTCAATACTCGATTGTTCATATAACACAAGTACGATAAATTCTCTCGGGTACTCCTTACTTTTACGTGGTAGCTCATTGGGTTGAGTGATGTATGCACTTCGATCGTGCACTAAACTGCGGTCAAAGTTGATGGCAGTTGGTTGTTTTATCTTTTGCGATCGGGAATGATCTGAACAAAGATACACTTGTTTTGAACAGCGCTAGTGGATCAACTTTACTGTTTGGCTGTTCTATATGGTGATTCGTTCGTATCCAATGAAACCCATGTATCAATTCCGAAGTAATATGCTGAAAAGTGAGGTCATCTCCACAGAAACACAACATTCGAGTTTATTGGGCTGATTTGATCGCCTGTATTAAGAGACCTAGATAACAATATGATAACTATATTTCTTAATACACCTCATTTGTCTGTCTTGTTCAATGTAATGTGATAACAGTTCTTGTTTTCTATGCATGGGTCCAGCAATGATTGTTCATGAAGTGGCCGTAACGATAAGTGTTCTGGGATTTTATGATGATATATCCATAGTTCATTTCGAAACATGTTATTGTCCATTGGTAAGAGTTGATGTCATCAAACCCCATACGATCGAATATATTAGGTGGGAGGAAATGAAATGTGGTTGTTTACCTAGCCACTGTTTTTGAAGATATGTACAACCCATAGAATAAAATAATTTTAACCAAACAGATGGCCCCTCAGAGAAAAAATAGTAAATTTTCGCCCATGTGAAGGTATCATTCACCTTTGTGGTGATCGTCTCAATCCATGATTTAAGAAATCAACGTGGTGAGACCCTCAAATCATTGCACAGAATTGAACCAGATACTCAAGGGTCTCATTTCAGACACTAACAAGTTGGTTAATTAATACTGTCTGCTTTTTCATTGCAGCACACTGGATCGATGATGCTGTTAGATGGACAAGTTTGTTGTTTTTCTGCCAGATATGATGTCTGGAAGGAACAGGATACGAACATATCAGAGGGATTTGCATAACTTCTCCCCATCCCTGCCTAACCTCGTGCAAGTCCGTTGGAAGAAATCCAGTATCATCCTCACCTTTTTCTAAACCAGGAACAGGTAAGATACAAACGGACCAGAATAACCTGTCCCTCAAACTTCATTGTTATCGCTACATTTAGGGAGGAGGAGGTTGAGCTACTCGTGTTGCATCAGAGGCCGCACTAACTGCCCCGATAGCAACATTGGAGATGCGCGATAGTCTACTTCCAATCTTGGCGATGGTAGGTTGGCTGGCTAGCTGACTGAACAGATGGGGATGGTGATAAAACAAACTAAGGAACGGCATTGACAGATGTGACCGGTCTGTCGACACACTCACATACTGGTCGCGTGCTCTGACTGTCTGAAATTTGGGGCAAGGCCAGTTTGACGATACCGAGACGACGCTTACATGTGATTGGTCTATCGGTCGGGTTTGATGATTGGTCAAGGTAGATCCCGTCGCACGTGTGTCTGTACGTATGTGTACTCGCGCATACCAGTGCCTAAGCGACACAGAGACACCAGGCGTCGGTTTCATCGTTCTCGCCGCCGTCGTCGTCATCATCATCATCATCATCACCATCATCATTATCATCATCTTCATCGTCATCATCATCATCGCCATCACCATCCTAGTTGTAGTCGTATCGTTCGTCGCAGTTGTACTACTGCCGGCGGGTTGTGTGGCGAACCGACCTGGATTGAATGTGTTTGTCCATACAATGTTTGTGTGTACCTTGTTTATTTACCAAGTGAATGTTTGCTCGTTTGTTCGTTGGCTGGGTCTGGTTTACAAACCGCGTACACGTGCGTGCGTACACAGGCATAGGTGCAGACGACCATCGGCCTTTGGTAGATGCGCACAATCACAGGCGTACGCACATGCAAATGACATGTGAGACGGGTGCGACAACACAGGCTACTAAATCTGACCGCACGCTATTTGGCATCTGTGCTCAGGTTTATACCCATTCTATCCTCATTATTGCCACCGCACTGCCGCACAGGACGCTCTCCTATGCGTTTTGGTTTCGTCCTTACCATGTCTTCCCTTGTGCATCCTTCAGTGTCCACCTCGTGTCTGTGATTAAATCTCACCACACGTGTGCTAGCTAGTCTGTTAAGTGAACGAGCGTACCGAACATCACGTGCACCGTTGTGCTTAACAAGCGTCGTGGTCGAAAAAACCGTGTCAACTATATGGTATTTTCACACTATTTCACCCCCAATCATGGGACGTCAGCTAAAAGCAACCGGCCTCATCAATCCATCGGATCATACCCCCTCTGTAGCTGAATTTGCTCTGAACATGGGCAATTTGTGCTCGACCCCAGTTCGAATAGAACAGGATTTACCCATGTCCTATCTGAATGGCCTGATCACGGGAGGTGAAATTACACCTGCTACCTCCACCGGAGGTTTGAGCACGACTAACCCGTTAGGCAGTTGGAATCCAACCCTCACTACGGAATCTATGCTGGCTTTGTTACGACCTCATCTTTTGGCCCGAATCTATGCTGCCGCTGTTCTTCAGACCCAATCCGAAGGAAGTGACACTCAACCACTTATTGCTCCATGTGACCGGACCGTGATGGGGAGTCAGAAGTATTTCAAGCCCAATTTCATGGACAATAGTGTTCCGCTCTCTTATAAACAGTTGACAGTTGGTAAGTTCCGAATTTCGTAATTCATTCGTCTTTTTACAGCATGAACTAGATTGTTCAGCTGAATAGCATTTCTGTGCTCATCAATAGTCTGCTTAATGTTTGTTCATTATCAGTAATGTCATTTTCACTCTAGCGGTCTCTTGGTTCTGAAACAACACAGAAGTCTGTTTCCATTGTAGTTAATTTTCCTAGGGGAGTATTAAATCCACGGGTGATAATTTACAGCGCGGAGGTTTTAAGGACAGCTAATCATAGTTTTCAATGCTGGAAGGTCCCAGTGCATGCACATACCAATACAAATCAAAACGTGACCGATGTATACTTGAATCTGCGATCACCTAATAGATTGTTTTTCTGATCATAAAACGATACACTCCCACCGAACTTAAATGGTTTTTGATCGCTTTATCAGAGAAATTATCTTTTTACCTCAAAGTATCATCTTTCTCCAATTCGAGTTCTGTATGTCATAGAAATAATTCAAACTGTTTGATGATCAATACAGCACCTCACTTACTGATGTCAAGTCCGGTGAGCAGCTGATTACCAGGAGGTTCCGGTGCCCTTCACTACTTTTTGATCTCAAGCGTTTTCCACCCGGTCTAACTAACAAACCAGTTCACTTTTGAACCAGTAAACACTTTCACATGTGAGCGAGTTGACCGCTAAGATTTGTAGCAGATTCTTGATTTTCGCTCACAATACCTAAAAGACAGAAAAGGTATCGTTTGTTTTGTGCAAGGACTAAGAAGTGTCATGGTTCAGATGATCAGTTCATTTTTGTGTGCCCGGTTGCAATCGGAACCAAAGGCGAACCGCATTCATGTCAAAACGAATCAGGATAGATTTGCCGATCGATCAAACTTTTCTGTAGGATCTCCATTAGGGCTTGATCTTTGCGGGCAGAGAAAGAGTAAAGGTCAATCGGTCATGTGGATGTTGTGGTGTGCAGACTAAAGTAATCAAAAGCCTATACACGTCGGGGTTTTCAACTCACTACTTTTTAAACATTGTGCCAGTCAAATTCATTGTTTTTGCTCTAGTAGACCCAAGAGTTTGTGGCTAGCACGCAACATTGCTCCAATATAAATAATGCGAATCGATACAGAAAATGGCAACAGTAAAGATGTGTCAAATCAGGCGTTCAATTAATTTATATTGAACAGGGTCGGTATGGTACCACCACCAAGGATTTGAATGGCGTAATTCTTGTATACATATGCTGATGGCGAGCGGGCGTGATGGACTATAAAACACACTTAATGAAGCCATTATTTGCCTAATGCAAGATATCAAATACGCTTTTCTCGAAAAGATTTTGCTTGGTTATTATGGAATGAGGCAACTGCGAGGATAAGGCGAATGGGCGATTCCTGCCGTAATTAGATAAAAATTTCGGGTATCTAGAATTTGCAATCTCCTCCAGAAGCGAGGCAGGAAAGATTTTAAATGGGAGATGGTGTAAACCTTGAACTAAATGCACCGGTACGGACAAACACTTCAAGCGAAAAAGGTGAAGACGGAGTCACCACTGATTGTCGTGGAAACTATGGAAATATGCCCCTAACCAGGTGAGATTTCCGTGTAGTGTGGCATTGTGACATTTGTCAGAAGGGTGTTGAATAGGAATTTTGTGAGATACATAGACACACATGAGTACACGCACCACATGTTTAGTCTTATTGGCTACGCATTTTAGCGAAAAATAACATCTGTTCATTTTAGCGGATTCCAAGAGATGGTTTGCAATGTGTTATAGATCAGCGGTATTCAAGTGGTTACGTTCATTGTGAGAAAGGCCTGGATAAAACGTGTTAGAATCCTTCCGTCAACGTTGCCGCCCATCTCCTCCTATATCCCCATTCAACTTTTGATTAACCAAAGTGTCTGTCTTGAGTCTCAAATGCTTTTCTTGTCCAGCTGAAACAAATTACCGTTGATATCTGGATTGAGCGGAGTAAGATCTTGATATGTCAGGTTAAATAAATTTAAGAAAACACGGAAATTATCAGTAAACAATTTGAACTATCTTGTTTTGTTAGGCTGATTCCATTGTTCGCACTCCCCAGGCACAGTTGATGGCCCTAGGTGTGAGTTTCATCGTTTGGGAGATCAGTAGTTCCCCACCAGTTCAATACATTTACTTGCAACAGGAATTTTCGTAACGACCAACCCACAGCACCGAACCCTGACTGTGTTGCTCAGGGTTAAAGACGTTGACTCTCAACCTGAAGGTTCGCAGTCTAAGTCCCGACAGGAACACCGAAAGAAACACTGCTGACGAGTCCCAGCATGAAGGAAACAGCTGCCCAGTGTTCTTTGTGAGTCATCACAGATATTTATGTTTGAAATATATATCAATAAATGACCCCTAAATATTTTGATCAACTAAACATGTTTCCCGGTTATGCTGCTGTTAGATCGCTTCAGTGTCTTTAATCAATGAGACCACCAAGTTCCCGTGAACCATGGCGCACGATGGAGAAGGCATTTCATTATCCTCTGCACGCTACTTATAAATGTATACAAACAGCAGCAGAAGGCCAAAGTTGAGGCAGTTGTTGAACCTCTCTGGACTCATAAAACGATGGAGTTCGATTATGAACGTTAAACCCTCAATAAAATGACACTCCTTCCACATCGTTACGAGTTTTTGTGTTTTGATAAACATTGTATGGACTGTTCAGGGATCTCGAAGGAGTAAGCCTTACGTGATCTAAAAATCTGAGACCACTAATCAATATTTGTACGCTTTCACGCCACGGTTAATTATGTTTCAAATACTTCCTGTCGTAAAACCTATTGCTGGTCAATCGTTTTATCCAGAGGCTTGCGTGACACCTATGTCATTCACCTTAGTTTAAAATGGTCAACCACATGCGTTCTTCTGGGGTCAGTATTGGGCACCTTGGACGTTTGACCCCATCCAAAGGGCGTATGATCCGATGAACTGGACACCGGCTCCCAATGGATTACAGTTTTCACAAATCTCCCCGCTGCCTTGCGCGTCAGGCTTTGGCTAGCCCGAAACTCCGGTTGTGGATTGCTCAGGAATAATTCACCGGCCTTGGCCTGACAACCTGGCAATATTCCGCCCACATGCAGATCATGGAACGTTTTTTCTTTTTCATAAAGATTATTGTACCGTGATTTGTTTGGCACACTGTTTGGGTTCAGACGGGTTTGAAAATGTATAATAAAAATATACAGTAGGGCTCACGGGGTCGTCCGACTAAAGCTCTGTTATGTCACAGAGCGAGGCTTGAACACTGGCAGAATGAATTTATCCTCTATGAGTGACGGTTGTCTGCTCAATACAATATAACCGATTGCGTTGGTCTAGCATACTTCCAGATTTGCAGGAGATACTGAGTGTCTCGGAGACATCATAGTTGGAAAGCTCCAGATGAACTTTCCGTAGCCATGCCGACACACTTTGTCTGGGATCCGTCCGCCACGAGCGAAGTAGCCGCTGGAATAGCGAATCCTGTCCACCTTCTCAGTAGAGTTTGGGGTTAGAAAAAAACGTCACACCTTGAAGGTGTGAAGCACGTATCCAATTCCCTACACCAACGCACTCAAAACTATCCAGAAAGGCTTACAATTGAGCTGATTGCGCCCTCAAAAGTACAGCGCCATCTGCATAGCTTGAACCAGTTAGTTTGCCAAGTGATGCGAATCAGCCCGACCATCTTTCACGTGGACCAAGCAGTTTCTCAAACCATATCTGTTTCATAGCTGGAAGAGAACAGGAAATTAGAGCAATGCCATTTTTCACGGCACACCCCAACTGAAAACCTCGAACTGTACAATACTTTCAGATCAAATAGAACTAAAAGACGAAAATTGCAGATAAGTAAGAAGATAAAGACAATCGAAGCATTCTGTACTTTCGCTGCTTTTGGGTTGACAGAAGTTTGAAAACCGGAGGTCCGATATTGGGACCAGATACTTGATAAGATGCCAAGATTAGTATGGCCGAAAAATATTAAGAGTAAATAAGGAGAAGGAATCAATTCACGAAAGCAAATATTGTGCTGACAGGGAAAGAACGACAATATGGACTCAGCTCTATCAATTATCTATGACAGTTTCCTTATGAGAACCCGGCTGTTGATTATATGGATGACTGTTAGAAATCGATCCAAGGAACTGTAACACTGCCTCACAGGTGACTTCATAATTCAGTTTTGAGACACGTTTATGTTCTATAATAAGAGGGGGAATGATTGTTTGATATGAAACGGAAGACTGCTCCTACACAACAGGAGACCATCTGGCTTATTTAAAGACAGATTTGACAGTCCGTTAAAAACCAAACGCATGATGCGGCATGAGTCTTATCAAAGAAACTGGACTGAGTTAAACAAAGAGGTAAAGAAAATGGCGTGAAACTGTGTTTCATGTATTGAACGTACTCCAAGAGGCTGGCATGGACGGCGTATGCGTGAAGAGAATCACCTGGAAATGAATAGTTTCTTTCGATATTTTAAGACAGGAAGTAAGATAATGTGGTGTTTTGAACCATATGAGACGGTAACCGATCGTCATTGGTGAAAAATCAGTGAATGAACTTGATATATATATATATATATA